ACTAATTTTTCATATTTAGTAAAGCTTGTGTTATACTGAGACTAAAGTCCCCAGTATCATCTCACAGCGTGATGGTCATGAGTGAGAAGATGGGTCAGTGTGTTACCTTGGTCCACCTCAGGACTTCCCTTATTGAGAAGGTAAGTTCATCAGTTATTGTTTTAACTTACTTCCTGACCGTCTTCCCACACACTGTGAGTATCCTCACCCATCAAAACTCCCCCCTTTTCTCAGACTCAGATGAGGGTCTTTCTTTCTTTCTTTTCTTTTCTTTTCTTTTTTTTTTTTGAGACCAGCTCTCGCTCTGTCACCCAGGCTGGGGTGCAGTGGTGAGATCTCAGCTCACTGCAACCTCTGCCTCCTGAGCTCAAGCGATCTGCCACCTCCACCTCCCAAATAGCTGAGACTACAGGTGTAAACCACCATATCTGGCTAATTTTTGTATTTTTAGTAGAGACAGGGTTTCACCATGTTGGCCAAGCTGGTTTTGAAATGTGCTCAAGTGATCCGCTTGCCTTGGCCGTCCAAAGTGCTTGGATTACAGGCATGAGTCACCTTACCCAGCCAGATGAGGACCTTTCTTCTTGTTCAGTGGCCCATCCCTTAGCCTGTGTCCTTGAACCCATACGGTTCTATCTCCGCAAGAACTTCGTGCTGTCCCTCAACTTTCCTTTCCCCTTTTTTTTTTTCCTTTCTAGACAGAGTCTGGCTCTGTCACCCAGGCTGGAGTGCAGTGGCCCAATCATGGCTCATTGCAGCCTCGACTTTCCAGGCTCTAGCGATCCTCCCACCTCAGCCTCCCAAGCAGCTGGGACCACAGGTGCACTCCACCACGCCCAGCAAATTTTTAGTATTTTTGGTAGAGATGGGTTTTTACCATGTTCCTGAGCTCAATCGATCCACTTCCCTTGGCTGTCCAAAGTTCTAGGACTACAGGCATGAGCCACTCCACCTGGCTCCCTCAGCTTTCTTTTGCTTACATTTTCAACTTTTTCCTCTTAACCGAATTCTTCTTCTCAAACAGCTCACATTTTCCAGTTTTAAAAGAAATCCTCCTTTGATCTCAGTACTCACCTCTAGCTATTGCCCCTCTAGCTACTTCTTTTTCCCCTCTATATTCACTGTCTCCATTTATTCACTCCTAATGTCTCTTTAAACTTACAGCTTTCACCACTGTGCCAAAATTCCACTGGCCAAGGTCACCAATTAATTTTCAACTGTCATATCCAAGAACACTGTTTAGGCCTTACTTTCCAGACTTTTTAAATATATCTGATATTGCCAATTCCTCTTACTTTGAAACCTTAACTCCTTTGACCTCCACAACATCATATACTCCAGGCCCTCCTCATTCCTGGATGACCATTTTCTTTGTCTCCTTCAGGGGTTTTTGTTCTTTGCTGTCACTAAGTGTTGCTCTTTGGGGTTCTGCCCTCTTCTCATCTCCACCTGGGCATTCTTCATGGATGGTCTCCTCGTGTTAATATCATCCATATGCAGATGACTCTCAACTCTGTTTTGCCTGAGGTCAGGGCTATGCAGTCAAACTGCTTGCTGGACAATGGAATCTGGACATTCTAAGAGCACTCCAAATTCAATGGGTTCAAACTCAATCCATGATTCTGTTCCCAAATATTTTCCTCTTCTGTTCTATCTCAATTGGTCGTAGTGCCACCATTCACCAGATCACCTAAACTATAAACTCATGATTAAAGCAGGATTGCTCAACCTCAGCACTCTTGATATTTCGGGCTGGTTAATTCTTTCTTTCCTTCCTTCCTTCCTTCCTTCCTTCCTTCCTTCCTTCCTTCCTTCCTTCCTTCTTTCTTTCTTTTCTTGTCTGGACAGGGTGTTGCTCTGTCACCCAGGCTGGAATGCAATGGTACAACCATGGCTCACTGCAGTCCTGACCTCCCGGGCTCAAGCAATCATCCTGCCTCAGCCCCCCATGTAGCTGAGACTACAGATTCACACCACCGCGGCCAGCTAATTTTTGTATTTTTGGTAAAGATGGGTTTTTGCCACATTGCCCAGGCTGTTCTTGAACTCCTCACCTCAAGCAATCCACCCGCCTCAGCTTCCCAAAGGGTTGGGATTACAGGCATGAACCATCATGCCTGGCCTGGATAATTCTTTGTTGTGGGGATGCTGTCCTATCCATTGTAGAATGTTTAGCAGCATTCCTAACCTGCATCCACTGGACACCAGTAGGAACCCACCAGCTGTGATAACCCAAAATGACTCCAGACATCAACAAATATCCCTTGTGAGACAGAGCTGTTAAAATATCCTAGGGTTGAGAACCACTGGGGTTAAAGGCATGGGTCTGGGAGTCACATATATTGGTGCCATTTTGGACTAGTTACTACCTCTCTGAGCCTCAGTTTGTTTTCTCTATAAGACAGACACAACTCTTACCTCATAGGAGGAACTTAATATAGGTAAAGTGCATAGGATCTCTCAACAAAAACACTTCTCTTTTCTCCACAATCCTAGGTCTTTCAGTTTTATCTCTTAAGTATTTCTGGTCTCTCCACACTTTTCCATTTCAACCTGGATTATTGCAACAGCTTTGCAACTGGTGTCAAAGCTTCCAGCCAGCCTTGCTCCCTTTAGATCCACACTCCACCTGGCACATGAGGCCTTCATGGTCTGGCTGCTGTGCACCTCTCTAGGCCCATCTCTTGCCCCTCCCAGCCTTGGATTTCTAGTCCAGCCACGTTGAGATGCTAGACATTCCTTTGTATACCATGCAGTTTCCTGTCCCTGTGCATTAGCTTGTGCTCGTCCTTCCTTCTGGAATAACTTCCCACACTCTTTATCTGGCTGACTCTCATTCTTTAAGGTTCACCTAAGTTTCACCTCCTCCAAAAAGTTAAGCCTGGAGCCTCCTTTCCCACGGGGTTCAGTGTCCCTCCTCTGTTCCAACAGTACCCTTGTCAGATCTCTCTCCTTGCATCTAGCTCATGACATCATGTTTTTGTTTCTGTGTCTGTCTGCTGGGCTGTGTGTGACGGGGACTATGGCTTTTTCATCTCTATATACGTGCCATCTAGTACATTCCCTGATACGCAGATGGTGCTCAGCAAATATTTATTGAGTGAATAAATGGATACAGCACTACCATTACCCTCTGTGTTAGGTTTAGAGCCATAGTTCAGAAGTGGTGATAAAATAGTCCATAAATCAGCTGTCTCTGTGGCTCAGAAGCAGCGTTTCCTCAGCCAGGGGCTTTTGGAAGGCACAGTGCTGAAGGGTAACACTCACATGAATGTGTGCGGTTGACGAGTGATGCAGCCAGCGACACCACCCGATATCTGCTTACAACAGCAGCAGCGGCTCTTCTGAGAAGCAGGGGGCATTTTCTTCACCTTTTCCATGGGTGGCCTTTCAGGTATCCACCATCAGCCTGGAGAGAAGGTAGAGGACAAAATCCAGCCCCTAATTCAGGGCCTTTCCTGTCAGTGAACTTCTTCATCTAGCTCCTTCACTCACCTCTGAATTGACATATTTGCATTTCTAAATTTAAATTTAAATTTTTGTAGTTGATGCAGCCATTCATTCTACAAATACAGTCACAAATACAGTCCTCCCTTGGTATTGGCAGGGTATTGGTTTCAGTATCCCCGTGGATACCAAAATCTGAGGATGCTCAAGTCCCTCACAGTCAGCCCGGGTATCTGCAGGTTCTGAAGCCTGTGGATATAAAGGGCCAAATGCATATATGTATGTATATATTTTGAGACAGTCTTGTTTTGTCACCCGGGCTGGAGTGCAGTGGTGAAAATGCACCTCACTGCAACCTCGACCTCCCAGGCTCAAGTGATTCTCCCGCCTCAGCTTTCCAAGTAGCTGGGACTACAGAGGTGTACTACTATGCCCGGCTAATTTTTGTATTTTTAGTAAGGATAGAGCTTTGCCATGTTGGCCAGGCTGGTCTCAAACTCTTGGGCTCAAGCAATCCGCCCGCCTCAGCCTTTCAAAGTGCTGGGATTACAGGCGTGAGCCACTGCCACCGCGGCCAGCCTCAAATCCATAAATTAAGCTCTACTGTGTGCTGGGTGCTGGGGTGGAAGACTGGCACAGCTGTTGTTCACAATACAGTGCATAACGTAGGAGAGGTTTATTTGCTACTGTTCTTCGACCCAGGATCCCATAGAGAAGCCTGCCAGAACGCGAGGCCTGCTCCTTCCCGGGCATTAGCGCTTTTATACTCTGCTCTTACTAAGCGCAGGGAAAGGAGTCCTGGCAGGTGGCAAGCAGAAGTTAGAGCTATTTAGTCACTCCCGCCCTCCGTCCTCCTCCAATGACAATAAGGTTTTGTTTGTCAGGCATAAGGTTACAGGATTGGCCTGTGGAGTCCAGAAGCTCTTTCTGCGCTCGGCTCTTTGAGCCTCAGTTTCCCCATCTGTCAGGTGTGTGTATGTGGGAGGGGGGCACGGAGTAGATCTACCTAGATCACTTGGGGCCGTCCCTTCCAGTTTTGGGGGAATGTCGGGGTGTCTGTGAGGGGGAGGGAGGACTCCGCCACGCGAAGGTAGTTTTAGCCGCAGCAACCAGCCAAGTGTGCCCGCGGAGACCGGCAGGGAATTCCAGGAGGCCCCTCTGTGGAGCGGTCCCCAGAGCCCGAGGGTGAGCTGGAAGGGTTCCTGCGGCGAGGCGGGAATGCTCGGTAGCCTCTGAGAGCAGTTCGCTGGCGAGAAACCCGGCTCCTGCAGGGCAGGGATCAGCCGGGTCGCGCCTTGTAGGGTGGGGTGGGGTGGGGCGGGGCCGGGGGAGGGCGGTGGAGTCATGAAATTCCCAAGAAATTCCTTTCCATTGCCCCACCCCGCCCCCTTTCCTAGGGTGCCGACCTGTCCAGACCAAGGTTCCCTGGAAAAGAAAAAATGCATGCTCTCCGGGTTTCCTCGCGTCCCTTCTCCAGCCCCCTCCCACCCCGGGATTTGGAGCGCGCGTGGGAGCGCAATAACGGTGGCGGGGAACGGGTCCAATCCCGGCGGCTCCTGGGGCTCCCGAGCGCCCTGCCACTCAGTCCCCCAGCTCAGGGAGGCGTCTCCCGGCTTCGGTCCCTTTCAGCTTAAGCTGGCGTCACATGAACCGCGGGGGAATGGGCACCGCGGGAGTGGGCGGGGGTGTGCGCGCTGGGAGGGGGCCGCCCAGTCCACCTATATGCGCCGCAGCCTGGCTGACGGATGCCAGGAATTCCCAATGAGAGGCGATGGGGGGAAGTTTGGGCAACTCGGCCTGGCCAATGGAGAGCCTCGGGAGGGCTCTGCCCCTTCCCCCCGCCCCCGCCCGCCTCGGCTCCCGCAGCGCAAGTGTGTCCGCCTAGCTCAGTGTGCGTGGAGATTAGGTCCAAGCGCCAGCCCGGAGGCAGGCAGTCCGCGAGCCCAGCCGCCGCTGTCGCCGCCAGTAGCAGCCTTCGCCAGCAGCGCCGCGGCGGAACCGGGCGCAGGGGAGCGAGCCCGGCCCCGCCAGCCCAGCCCAGACCTACTCCCTCCCCACGCCAGGGCAGCCGCCGTTGCTCAGAGAGAAGGTGGAGGAAGAAATCCAGCCCCTAGCACGCGCGCACCATCATGGACCATTATGATTCTCAGCAAACCAACGATTACATGCAGCCAGAAGAGGACTGGGACCGGGACCTGCTCCTGGACCCGGCCTGGGAGAAGCAGCAGAGAAAGGTTAGCAGCTGACCCCGCCCACCGCAGCCCCCAGCCCCAACCAGCTCTGCCCACCGGGCTCTAGGATCCGGGCTCTGAACCGGTTCCGGGCGCGCACGGGAGGGGGCGGGGGCGGCGCGGCCGCTGCGAGGTGGGGTGTTGGGTTACAGGCGCCTGGCGGAAGCGGGAGCGCCCCTGCCCCGGAGCCCGCGAACGCTGGGCCGTATCGCGGGGAGGTGGCGCCGCCGGCGGGCAGGTCTCCTTGGGGGTCCGTGGTCCAGGCCACCCTGCGGCTGCTGCAACCATCCCCGCGTGGGCTGTGCGCGGGGGCGGTGCTCCTCAGGCTGGGGCTGAGACCCCGGCTCGGGGCTGCTTGCCCCGGATCGATTTTCCCTTTTTTCTGCCCCCGGCCACCTCTCCATATGGCGTGCGGTGGCAGCGCCACTTCCTGGGCCGCCCTGGGTTCAACCTGAGCGGCGGGCCGCCTGGGACCCTGCGGCCCCCCAGGCCGAGGGGAGACCACCGGAGAGATCGGCGGCCGCCTCCGGATCTGCCTAGAGAAGGACCAGCTGGAGTGCGGCTGGGGCCGAGAAAACTGGGGGGCGTACGCTGGCTCCCCGCGGGCCTGGTGGAGGCGGGGTCAGGACGGCAGACCGTTTTATTGCTTAACTCAGTGGGTTGGTAGCTGTAAGACCCACATGGGCTTGCGTCTACGTCCTGCTCCTCCGACCCCCGGGAAAGGTGGGCAGCTCGGTTCGAGTTGAGGGGCTCCAGAACGAGGGTCTGTCTTAGGGGATATTTGGGGCCAGTCACTGGGGATCCCTACTTAGCCACGGAGCTGCTTCCCAGGCAGGCGCGGTGTGCCGGGTGCGCGCCCCGCCTGGGAAGCTGGGCTCGGAGCTGGCGATGGGACCCGGGCACAGTGGCCAGTGGCAGGAAGAGGTCAGAAACCACTCGTAGTGGTGGGGGGAGGGCGCCTCAACCCTGCCGCTGCTTCCTGCCTGCGCGGTGAGCCCGTGCCCCCAGGCGGCCACGTACCCTGAATACCCCTTTCCCTCCCCCTCCTCCCGGCTGCCCGCTTCCATCCAGTCCCTCCCCGTTTCATACCCTCCCTCCCCACCCCACCCCCCCCGGCTGATCTGGGAATGGGGTTTGGGGTGGGGGGGACAGGATGGCGCGTCCCTTTGGATAGTGCGGTTAGGGCTGGGCTTGAGGGAGAACGCTCATGTCCAAAAATGGTAACATTCATTCCCTTTTTTAAACTTAAAAGGGGGGTAGTTTATAGAGCCGACTGAAGTTTTTTTTTTCAGCCAAAGGCATCCTGTATTAGCTCACTCAGGAATCCTAGGCCCTGAAACCGAGCCCTTTTACTCACTTCATCAGACAGGCAGAGGTAATCTAAAACACACACAATGGGCTTCCTCAAAGCAGGACGACCTAGGCCATGGTGCCCAAGGCCTATATGCAGGGCTGGGCCCTATACAGCGACATCGGTCATCTACATCGGACATGGGAAGGTCCCCTGACTTCGAACTGATTTCTTTGTAATGTGCCAGTTGCTTAAACTCCCCCTCTTCCTGTCATCTTCCTAGTAAGAGCTGAGGACTGGGGGAGCTGCAGACAGTCCCCCACTCACTTGGCTAATTTCCTGGGACCGTGGGTGCTGTGGGTGGAACTGAAAAGTGAGTGGGTAATTTGGAGATCCCTATGGGGCACCAGGCAGAAGGCTCTTTAATAATTTCAGGGTGAAGCCTTCTTGCGAATGGATTTTAAATTAGAAGTGAGGTTAGGATGGTGGACTGGGGTCTTCCTTGGGGTTTAGAAGCAAAGAGAAATTCCTGCTTAGGGAGCACCTGCTTCGTGCATGGGAGGGGCAGGAGTAACAGAGCTGCCCAGGAACTAGGCCCCAGGAACTGCCCAGGAAAAGGACTGTGAGACCAAGTTCCTGGGGGACAGACACTGAGCACTGGCCTGAACATAGTATTTAATATTTCTGAATGAATGAATATATTAAACGCAGTTGGGGAGAAGAATATAGATTCCCAGGGCTCTGACCTGGGTGGCAGTGGGTGTGCCCCAGGCCTTTGGGCAGCCAGCTAGGAAGAGGTGGTCTGGGAAATTGGGTTATCCTGGAGGCAAACTCAGCAGTGCCAAGAGCTGGCATTTGCTGATATGTGCCAGGCACGCACAAGGATGAGGAAACCAGGGCCAGAGAGGGGAAGTAACTAGCTCCAAGTCCAGACTGGTGTTTGGTGGGACTGGGGTGCAGCCATGTTTGGGACCGGCAGCTTCCCCTCACTTGTCCCTCCTTGGCAAGGGAGGCAGGAAAGCTGGGCCTGGCAGCCAGAGCCAGAGCATCTCGGAACCAGGAGAGCGGACACGTGCTTTGGGCGGGGTTGATGGAGGGGCCACACAGAAGGAGCTCTGGGCCTGACTCTGAAGATTCAGATCCACATTTTTTTGTTTCCTGTTAATTCTCTAGATTATCTTTCGTGGGCCTCAGTGTGCAGAATTTCTGGCCTGCCTAGTTCTCAGCAGGTTGATATTAAGGAGGTAGCATTACAGGTGAGGGATAAGACTTAAGGTAAACATGTTGCTTTTGACACTCTTTCTACTGACTGGGAGGCGGGGTTTGTGTGGGACCAGAGTCCACCAGTGGACAGAGGCTGATGGTTCCAGAGGAGGCAGTGAGTGAGTGTGAGGAAGGGAAGAGGAGGACACAGTGTAAAGGGATACAAAGGTCACCCGGTAGAAGGCAGAAGACCCTCTTTTTAGCTTTGGTGCAGCCATGGCTATCTGTGAGACTTTGGGCAAGTCTTTCCATTTCATTGAGCTTTTATTATTAGATCATTCAGCCAATACTTTGTGAGAACTCATTCTGGGCCAGACACAGTTCCAGGTATTAGGGATGGGGCACTAAGCAAGACAGACCAAGCTCCTGTTCTCGTGGCACTTTCATTAGGTTTTCTCTTCTGTAAATGGGATGCATTTCTGCCCACGGAGCCCTCAGGACTCTTCCGGGGAATCAGGTTAAATGACGCATTGAGAAATGCTTCCTTGGTGAAAGTATGGCCTGATGTGGATGCAGGGAGAAGTCTGTGCAGGCAGGAGGCGTGACTCAAGGAGCTGCACTGGCTTGGCCGAGGCTTGTCCCTCTTTCAAAGAATGCTTCGGTGCGGAGTTCATGGGCTGGTCGCCATGCCTCCAGACACAAAATGCAGTTATCTTCCAGATAGAGCACGTGGATTAGAGGCACTCCTCTCCTTTTCCAGCTTTCATAATCTTCCTGGTCTTTGAGGCTGGGCTCTGAAGTTGCTTTTCCTAGGAGCTGCTGTTATTTTCAGGGTGACCGCGGCCCCCAGTTTTCTCCCTTATGTAATTTTGCTCATGTTCTTAGGTGTATGTGTGTACCTAGTGTAGGTCAAGTTGGAGAGAGCATCAACTTGGAGTAGGTTCCTGGCTCTATTATTTTCAGGCTTGTGACCTTGGGCAAGTTCCTCTCCGAGTCTCCAATTCCCTACTTATAAAAAAGAGCTAATACCCACCTTGCTGGCTTGATGAGAACAGATATGTAAAATGGTAGCTTCTGCTGTTAAATTTTATTTTCTCTCTTCCTTCTCAAGTCCTGAAGATTCTGGTTTAATGTGTGTTTCTATAGGTGCCAGCCTGTGGCCTTTTACATGTAGGAACTTAATCAATACTTGTTGAGCTAATGGATGTTGAAACAGAGAGGCAGTGTTGGCAGGTGAAAAGAGGTGGTTGTGAATAAGGCCCACATCTCCATTCAGCAGACAGGTGAGGGTAGGTCACAGGAAGAGGGGACATGTTGTTTGCACTTCCTTCTGGACAGCTAGGCCATTGCAGGAGCTAGCCAAGGCCACCAGTCAAGGTGGAGGACTACAGAGAGGGGAGGATCTGCTGTAAAAGAGTTTACCTGGGGAGAGATGGGACATCCAAAACCAAGGTGATGCCTTGTAGAAATAAAACCAGAAAGAGGAGAGGATTGGCTGTCCTCTCCATTCTTAGGCCCCTCCCTGTTCTGCACTCCTTCCAGCTTCACCCCATGCAGTGTCCATGGAGGCAGGGACCCAGCCTGTCCTGTTCTCTGCTGAATTCCTAGTGCTGAGCACAGGGGCAGGCCTGCTGTAGGTGGCCTGATCTAGAACTGTCTCTGAAAAATGGAATAAATGGCATCATGCGTGGCTCCCAACTTCAGGCTTAGGGGCGGGGAAGGCAATGAAATGCTTTATGTTCAGATAACCACCTATCCTGGGGCTGTCCCAGACTCTGCAGATAAATGTGTGCTGGGTGCACCGTGAGTCCAAATCTTGGTCCCCCTGTTGACTGTTGAGATCTTGGCAAGTCAGTTTACCTGCTGTGTGCCTGATGATATCAATGGGGAAATGGGGATAATAATAGTTCTTGCTTGATAGAGTTGTGTGGAGGTTTAAATGAAGCAATGTATGTAGGGATTTAGCACAGCACCTAGCGTATAGTGAGTGCTCAGTAAATGTTATTTGGAGGAACCAGAATTTCTATGGTCTTTACCCAATAGGCTTTGAGATAAGCCATAGTATATAAACCCATCTTTGCAGGAGCCAAGGTTGTTTAGGGGTGTACGGGAGTTGTGTTGTCCTTGATGTCTGACCTTAACCTCTGTGATGGCTCAATCTCTTCACCTGTGGAATAAGGTAGCCTTCCTTGCCTACCGTACTCCCTGGGTATGGGGATGAAGGGTAGATGTTAAAGTACTTAAAAAACAAACAAACAACCCCACCATGTCAGCTTATATAGGGAAAATGGCCACACAGTAGGAATTCCCTGTAAGTGATTTAACTCTGGATGTCTTCAGGCTGAGGCATTCCTTTTTTTAAGATGGAGTCTCGCTTTGTCACCCAGGCTGGAGTGCAGTGGCGTGATCTCGGCTTATTGCTACCTCCATCTCCCAGGTTCAAGCAATTCCCCGGCCTCAGCCTCCCTAGTAGCTGGGATTACAGGCAGGCACTACCACACCTGGCTAA